AACCTCTTCTGATGAGCCCCTTTGATGGATCTAATACATTCTCCCCAGTGTCCAGAGGGCTGTGCCTCTTCTGAAGCTCCATTTCTGTGACTGAAGCAAGAGTGTTTTTCTTGTTCCAGGATATCACCATCTTCCAGCCTCAACCATCCTGACTGCCTCTCTCAATGGCCTGTTTGTCATGGCCACCACATGCTGTTCCTTCCTTGCTTTGTACTGTTGAGGCTCTAGTCTTAGCCTGGAGATACTCAGCTAAGCACCTGAGAAGCACAGACATCCTGAAGAGATCTGGGTGTGCTGGCTGACATCAGGCTCAAGAAGAGCCAACTTTGTGCCCTGGCAGCAAAGAGATCCATCGAACTGAATTTTAGAATGCATTACACACTCCTTAGACATCTGGTCAAAAAAGGATTTTTCTCCTACTGCAGTTAGTCTTGGTGTGTCTTCACCTGGAATAGAACTGGCTGTTCTGGGCTCCACAAAGTAACAAGGATGTCCAAAGGTGCTTTAAAGCACCCAGAGGAGGGCAGCAGAGCTGATAGTGGGTCTGGAACGCATTTCCTGTGAGGAGAGCCTGAGGACATGGGGGTTGTTCAGTTTGGAGAACACAAAGCTAAGAGGCAGCCTCACTGCTCTCTACAACTTCCTAGGAAGGAACGCAGAGATGGAGGTGCCGGTCTCTTCACCCTGGTAACTGATGACCGAACATTGTGGGAATGGCACAAAACTGCACCAGGAGATGTTCAGACCAGATAATGGTGACACTGTAAATCAGTCGGTCATGAAACACTCTAAGACTCAAACCAGAGTGTTAGAAAGCAGGCATTCTTTATTTGTGGTGCTGGATGCATGGGGGATGAGCTCCACCTATCACGCATGAAAAGATCCTCAGCTTATATTCATTACTAATGTTACACATGCAAATGTTTTCCCGTAGAGAACATAGATATTCCGTACTTCCCCACAGAATTATTAACATTGGGTTCTGCTTTGTCACACATGTTCAGTGTGTGGTGGTGGTTGCACAACTCTCTGAATGAAGTCAGTACTCTTCCACGAAAAGTGTTCACAACATGAACTCCATATCCAACAGTGCTCAGTTAGCTCATGGCTTCACTCACATAATATTTGCTTAAAAAAAAAAAGAGCTGATTCAAAGCAGAACTTCCCTCACCTACTTGATACAAGCAGTTCAGTATATCACCATTATCTGGTTGCTACAAGGGCACAGATTCTTCCTGTTATCTGAACAGACTCCAGAGTCTCCATCAAGGAACACTGGCAAGTTGAACAGTATTGCTAGAACTTGTATCATGAGGAAAAAATAGATATATGTGAAAGTGGTCAAACACTGGATCAGGCTTCATGGAGAGGTGCTTGGTGCCCCATGCCTGTCAGGGTTGAGAGACATTTTGATAATGCTTTTATGAACATGCTTTTCCTTGTAGTTAGTGCTACTGTGGTCAGACAATTGAACTTGATGATATTTGCAGGTGCCTTCCAGTTCCTCTCCTCTCCATTAGCTCTGTTAGCAGGAAGACAGAGATTAACAGAATCTCTTGGTATCCTGAAGTGCCCTTGATGTGACCAGGACGTGTTATTATGTGAACACACAAGTCACACAAACACTCACCAGCTCATGCACACGTGTGAAATAATGCAAACCTCTATACCCGCAGGCACTTGCATAAATCCAGCACACAGGCTCTTGTTATTTCACACTGATGGCTTACTAAACATGCTGTTATCATGCTTTTACTGGATTCTTTCAGCATGGGACCTGAGTGTTCTGCCCACACTAACATGTGCTGTCTGGAAATGCTTGGGCTTTTCTTCCTGCTACTCAAAAGATGCCTTCCATGAACAATAGGAATGACATCAGGATCTGAAAAAACAGCAGCACAGGAAACCAGCATACAGCCCATACCAATAGCTGGGATGTCTTGCATTCAAGAGGTTCTTGTCATAAAATAATCACTGCTTCTAGGGATGCCTCTGGAAATGGGGCAGCTTGGATCCACTATAAAAGCCTGTCCAGCTCCTTGCTCTCTCATTCACTTCTCCTGCCTCCATCTTCTTAGGAATCAGGTGAGTGTGTTGCCCCTTCTTGTTCTCTTCATTCTCCAAAATGAGTTCTGAGCTCAGTGGAACTCTCAGCTGCTATTAGCTTTATTCCATGCCTGGCTCTGCTTGTCATGAAAAAAAGGGAAGTGGGGAGAATGTTTGTCATGGGAAGAGGGTGGGATTGCAAGGAGGTAACTTGTAGGCTAGGATCTAGGCAGTACTTGGATAGGTCCCAGTGGCTTTCATTGGGCTTTGTCAGGATGAGACCAAGAATCCCTTGGACATCCCTGAACTGTCTTCAGCTCCAAGCTCTGCCTGAGTATTGATTCCTTATAGTGTGATGCTAGGCTGCTTCTCACGCATCCCCATGTTCTGCTTCCTCCCTGCTCTCCCCAAACAGGTGCACCTCCATCCCTGAGACATGTCCTGCTGTGACCAGTGTGTGCCATGCCGGCCCTGCGGCCCGACCCCTCTGGCCAGCAGCTGCAATGAGCCCTGTGTCAGGCAGTGCCAGCCCTCCACCATCGTCATCCAGCCCTCTCCCGTGGTGGTGACCCTGCCCGGACCCATCCTCAGCTCCTTCCCGCAGAACACCGCCGTGGGCTCCTCCACCTCCGCTGCTGTTGGCAGCATCCTCAGCTCTGAGGGCGTGCCCATCACCTCGGGGGGCTTTGACCTCTCCTGCATTTCCAACCGCAGCTGTGGCAGAAGGTGCCCCCCCTGCTAAAGATGCTGGGCACGGCTCCAGACAAGGACTACAGGAATGCTGAACATGACTCTGGACTGAAGAACAAATGTTGTGCTATTGTTGCCCTGCAAGACAGACATGTACAGGCCAGCCTTGAGCCTCTGATAACGTGGAGGAAGTCTACTGATACTCTCTTATACTCACTCTTCCCATTTAATATCTTTATTATCTTTTCCCTCTAGAGATCTCTGTTAGTACCCCCAAAAATGAACCCTGACTGACCTGCTCATCTCCCAAAAACTCCAGGCTGGGAAAAAGGACTCTGTGGCAATGCTGCCATAGGAAAGGGGAACTGATTCCTGTCTGCTCCTGCTGCTCACTGCGCACAGGGCCTCTGCTTGGGGTGGCATAATTTCTCTCATCAGACTCATTAAACACTTTCTGCATCCCTTAGTGTTTCCTTCTTTGTTGGTGTATATTTTCTCCCCCTACCTGTGTAGAAATGGCCAAAGGAGAAAGCAATGCCTTTGGTGAGAACAAGCTCCTCTGGTTACGGGAGGTCAATGCACACTGCAGACATACACTTTTCAAGCACTCTCTGTTGAAGGAAAGGAAGAGATTCCAGGATGTTCCTTATAGTCTGGAAAAGAGGAGACTCAAGGGAGACCTTAATGCTCTCTATAACTACCTGAAGGGAGGATGTAGTGAGCTGGGGATCGGCCTCTTCTCTTGTGTAACCAGCAATAGGAGTAGACGGAATGGCTTCAAGCTGCACCAGGGGAAATTCAGGCTGGACATTAGGAAATACAACTTCTCTGAAAGAGTGGTCAGGCACTGGAATGGGCTGCCCAGAGAGGTGGTGGAGTCACTGACTCTGGAGGTGTTCAAGGAAAGTTTGGATTTTGTGTTGAGGGACATGGTTTAGTGAGAACTGTTGGTGATTGGTGGATGGTTGGACTGGATGATCTTGTAGGCCTTTTCCAACCTTGGTGGTTCTGTGATTCCTCCACCACCAATGACCATTAGTCCCTGCCTTGATGTGTTTCTCCTTAACAGATGACCCTTGAGAACATCACATGAATGGGTTTGCTCATGAATGTCATTCTCAGGAGATGATTTCTGTGCCTGGGGAAGGCCCAGGGAAGCCAGAACTCCCATCAAACTCCCATCAAACTCTTTGGGAAGAGAGTTCCTCTTGGTTTGGGTGGAGCTGTGCTGGGAAAGAAGACTCAGAGAATGATGTTTCCCAAGGCCATCAGCAACTGGGAAGGCAAATTTGTCTCGTGTTTGATGGCATTCTGTCTCCTCCATTTTCCCATGTATTCAACCTTTAGATCCAGGGAGCAAAACTCTGTGGTGCCTGTGGATGGACTGTGGGTAAAGCATCCCTCTACAGTTGTAACACCTTCTGCAGAGCTCCTGTCTGGCCCACATTTTTCCAAGTTACCTATGGCTGAATGGATGCACAAGTCAGTACTGCTACCAGCTACAAGCCTACCCTTCTCCAGGACAGACCCTCTGAGAGCAGAAATCACCATCTGAACTGAGACATGTCAGTGATTTAGGACTGGATTCAGCAGAATCCGTGTACGTTCCTTCAATCACATGGGGAATGCATCAAGCCCAAATACAGAACAGAGAGATGTCTTCTCCCAGGTAACAGGATCCTCAAACATGGATCAGGCAAATCCTGTACTGTGGAGGCCCTTCTCAGAGTGAGCTCCTTTTCCTCTTTTAACACCAGGTAAAGATGGTGACCTTTCTCTATTCCCTGAAGAAAGAAAGGTTAAGATGCACTACAGAAGCTGCCGTCTTGGTCACTAAACCTCGCAGCAGAAGGAGATATCCCTGGCTATTGCAGTGGAAGTGACAATCAGAATTTCACTTGCAGTGTACCTTCCCACATCTACAACCACGCATCCTACAAATGGAGATCATAACCACTGATGTCCCCACATGAAAAACTAGGAGTGTGTGAGAGGCCACAGGCAAAAGCCATCCAGCAGGCTTTTGGGAATGGAAATCCCTTATTCATATATGTGCTTCAGTGGGAAGGAGAAGAAGTTAGAAGATGGAACAGAACTGCATGAATGTCCCTCTGGTGTCAAACACACCTCATGCAGTCACTCCTGCAGCTCCCCACAAATACACGGCGTGATGACCTGCCCACCTCAGGCTCAGCTCTGTCTGATTGACATTGGCGGCAGTGAATCACGGCTGCTATGGGTGCAGCGCTCGTTTCTGTGGAGACCTCAGGGCGGCGCACCCCGGTCAGGATGGAGTTTGGCGGCCATGAAGGCAGCGCCCCCTGCGGGCCCGGACGGCACTGTGCCCCCGCCCCGCCCCAAGCGGTTCGTGCCCGGCCGCAGCCCCGGCTTCGCTTCCCGTGCGCCCACGGCGCAGTAATACAGCGCCGCGTCCCCGAGCCGGGGCCGGGCGAGACGCAGGACGCTGGAGCGGCGGTCTGCCGACACCCACAGCTGCCCCTCCGGGTCCGGCACCTCCTTGGAGCCTTTAAAAGCGCTGACGAGGAATGAGGGGCCTCGGCCCGGGAGCTGACGGTACCAATGGATGTACCCGTCGGGCTGTAGGTTGGGGTGTGAGCAGGTGATGTTGATGCCGGTGTCCTCGGTGGTCTCTGCCGCCGGCTCCTGTTGCACCTGGGCTCTGCTCATAGTCACTGCCGAGAAGAAAACAAGAAGGAAACGCAGAAAATCCATTTTCTCCAATAGAAATTTTATAAAGGAGCAAAGAGGTGCACGAGCTGGGAAAGAAGCCAAAAAAAAACAGAGGCATTCGCGGTCCCGGTCCCTGCAGCCCCCAGAGTTCGGCCCCGCCGGCGGCAGCCCCGCGCACCCAGCAGCACCGCGGCCAGCCCCGCCAGCCCCGCGGCCCGGCACTGCCGCATCCCGCCGCTGCGCCGCCCGCGCCGCGCTGCCCCCGCCAGCCCCGGCTCTGCTCCGCCCGCGCCGCCTCCTCCCCGCCGCCGCCGCCAGCTCCGTCCAGGGGCTGAGCTCAGCTTCGGCGTCACTCGGGCTTGCTGCGGGCTGCCAATGCTGGGCGCCTGTGCGCGGGTAACGGGGTTTGGGTTCTGCGTGTCCTGCAGCGCAGCCAGGGCTCTGCGGTGTAGTCGGAGAGCTGAGGAACAGCTGCAAAAGCCCCTGCAGTATAGAAGAAAGCAGCTGCTCGCCTGTAGTGTCCCCAGCGAGTGTCAGGCGGTAACACAGACTGGACTGGAATGGTCCGGGAGCGCAACGCGGCCGAATCCTACTCCACCGCTGTGCACGGCGATGCCGCAGATCCAAAGCCTGGCAGCGGGAACGGGTCGTGTGCTGCTGCCTGGAACGCGGCACCCCGAGACCTCCCCTGGTCCCGCAGCTGCTGCTGCCCGTGGTGCTGCTGTCGCCGCTCGAGGAGCCCGAGAAAGGCCGGCAGCGGCGCCGAGCGGGCCGCTGGGAATGTGCAGCATCGGGCTTCGAATGTGTGGGAGAAGCCAAGAGGGAGGCTGGAGGCACAGAGTCCCTGACCAGTGTTCAACCGGATCCAAAGCTGAGCCCGGATCTCAGGGACATTCACACCGTAAAATCTCATTTCCTGAGGGTTCAAACCGACACCAGCTGCACGTGCTAAACCCCATGTCTCTCTCTCTCTCAGCAGTACAGCTGGGTGGTTATGGGGATAAAACCTGCCCCTGCCACATTTGTTGTAGCTCAAGAACCACCCCTGTTCCATTAGACAATCATGGACCCCTTTTCTTGTAGCAGTACAGAGCACACAGCAGGGACATTTTCAGCCCCAGTCTGACTCCTCAATTTGGCACCAAAACCACTCATGCCACTCTCCCCAGTAACTGCTAATTTATCCATCCAGAGTGCATAAGACAGAGTGATGGTGCAGAGTTAAGAAAAGACTCATTAAGAGGACAGGACAGTCTGTGGGGATCAATCGCATGGCTCAACCAGCTCTGAGTGGCCCCTGCTGCACACCACTCTATTACTCCCATACATTAATCTCTTTCTCTGTATTTTCTAACAAGTTATTCTATAATCTGTCTCACACCAATTCCCTGTTTATGTCCAGATTCACAGCTGCATCTCTTGCAAAGGCCAGGTTCATCTTCCTGGAAGTGGCCCGATGGTTTCTCGATACCTCATCAGCTGATGTGAATGTGAGATTTATTTCTTCCCATTATTTCCATGTACTCCTTTGGTGTCTGTATCCGTATTGTTCTTGATTGGCTCCCTTTTTCTCTCATCCTGTTTCACAAGGTCCTGATAGCTCTTGCCAGTCAGGGGCCCTACACACACATGCTTATAGTGCACCTTGTTCAGTCATCGAGAGCATTAATGGAAAATTAAAACCACTGGTGCAGCACTGATCCCTGAGAGACTCCTTTATAGATTCCTGTACCCAGCTGCACTCTGAATCGCAGTCACCACTGTTAGAGCCCAGCATACCATCTAATTTTCCACCTACATAATTAACCCACGCCATAACTCACTCTTTTGGTTGTGAGGTGGATATACAGCAGGCAATTGAAATGATCATGACAAAATCTAATCACATAGCAATCACTACCCTCAATTTTTTCAATGTCTACATAATCTTGTACAGGATGCAATGAGGTTGCTCAGGCATGATTTGCCCTCTGTTGCTTAATTCAGAGCTGCGTTTTGTGCTCTTAGCAATGGCTACTGAAGACATTTCCTCAGGAATACTGTAGGAAGGAGTGAAGGGCATACAGTTTCTTCCACTTTATGAAGATGGCTGTGATCCCTGTATTATTGATTTCTTCTTTTGTTTTCCTAGCTGGGGCAGCCATTCTGCAACTGCTGTGACTTTGAGAGATGACAGAGAGCAGCCTCACAATGGCATCACCCAGCAAAATGCCTTTGGATACATCTTCAACTCGTGGACACAAGTATGTTCAACTGGAACAAGATTTCCATAAGGATTTCTCCCTTATAGGGAATAATGTTCCACTCTCCAAAACTCTGAGAAGAGATTCAGGGAACTGGGAGGCCTGGGGATGAGTCTTATTCATGGGAACTGAGGAAAAGAAGCATTCAGTATTTCAGTGTTTTCCATTTTGCTTCTCACCATTTCCACTGCCTCACAGACCAATGAGTATACATTCTCCTCAACCAGAGGAGTTTGCATCCCTGTCAGACACAATAGAGGTAAGTGCTCACAAGAGGAAACAGTGTTCAGATATATGGGATATGATGCAGTTATCTGAGAACCCCATTCAGGAGAAATTTGAGAGAAATTTCAGTTTAGGACAGTGGCCTAACAGCGTTCCTAGTGATGTGTGGTACAGTGAGAGACTGTGAAGAGAGGGAATTGTAGTGGGAGCCTAGCAAAAAACTTTGAAGCCGTTGACCTTGGCTAGTCAGTACTGTTGGGTCTTGTATTTAGGAATTGAGGAGTCCTTCCATTATCTCTGAGGAACTGCAGTAATGGAATCAGCCAGAGCGAAACATGCCCAGCTGAGCTCCATGTGCCAGAGGGCATAATGTCAGAAACAGATTTCCATCGTATGAGGAGAGGATAGAGCTGGCTATGGGAAGGCTCTGCACAGTTTGACTTGGGCAAATCCCCTGAAGAAAGATGGATTTCTCAGAACTAGAAGGGAGCTGGGATGTTTTTGCTGACTCTAGACCTCATCCCCTTTGAGGGAAAGATTTCCAAAGCATAGCAAGTGTGTTTCTCCCTGTGGGGAGATGTAAACTGATACTGGTATTCCCCTGCATTCCTCAGGCTATTTACACCTGCAGTCAGATCTCCTGCACTTCAGCCAAGCCTCAACAGTGCAGAAGGGCTGCTGCTGGGAGGTGTCTGGTGAGGTTACATTTGGGCAATGATTGGCAGGGCTGGAGTTGGATGTTGCATGTGAGGGTGTCTCAACCATAGCACTCTTCAGCATAATGTTTTGCTTGGTCCAATTGTTCCCAAGAGGAGAGAATCCACAGGTTCCCTGTGCCTTGCCTTTCCTGCTGTTTTCCACCTAGAAACCTTCAGTCACACCTTCAGCCAGGCCGATCCTGGTCCTTTTTTTATTGAAAAGATCACAGTATCCACAGAACATCTCATCATCTGTGAAATGCAGGAAATCAGGGAATCATAGCATATGCTGTGGTGGAAAAGACAAACAGACAGAAGTCAGTGTGTCCATCACCTTTCTCCACACAGACTGAAGAAAAGCTGAACAACAATGCTCTTGTGTTCTGTCTCAATTCCAAAAGATTGTTTTGTATTTATTTCGAGAAATCTCCTAATTCTCCGCAAAGTGCAGAATGCCCTCTGGTGAGTGAAAGGAGAGGGGTCAGGGAGAACTGTGAAGATGACGCAAATGTCAGAAGCAAGCATGAAAGCAGAGCACTTTGGACAATAAGGAAGGAACCATGAAATTCCTCTCCCAGAGGCCAGGGTCCCAGCACCACAGGAGAAGTGCACAGTGATAATACTGCTGTAATTCAATATATTGTGTATGTCAATCATAGGGCAACACTGAGAAAACTAGACATTCAGTGATCCTCTGCCTTTCACCTGCAAATACAAGTGCTTTTCCTGATGATACAGAAATTCTCCAGTTTTGGGAACAATGCTTTACCAGATCTCAAGAAGATGAACGTGCTAAGGAGGACATACACTGGGGTCCTCAGGTGCCTTTTGCTTCCCACGGTGACAAAGGTGAGGCCATTCCCATCAAGATTAGGAGACACGTGGAAAAGATAATGAAAATAGGACCATGTGTCAACTGATGTGGTCTGTTTAAGCCCATAAGAATCAATTTGGTCACCAATGTCTGGCTCTCCTTTGCCATGGCTCTCAGTGTCACTTCTGTTTTGTCAAAGCCATTGGCCTCATATGCAGTGTCACTACATCCCTCCTACTTGTCTCTCTAGGTATTCCCTTCTCTCCCACTTGCGGCATCTTCTGACAGGCAGCACTCTGAAAACAAAAGCTACTTCATCCCAAAGGAGACAGCAGATTCCCATAGAAACTTCTTTCCACCTGGGTCAGGAGATGGGATGGCCTCATGGAAGCAGATGGATGTTAGGAGATGCTGGGGAACACCAGGGAAAGACTAGATCTAGGCTGCAGGCTCTAATCAGCTACACACAAACACTCAATTCTTGACCTCCACCTTTTCAGACTTTTAAGTACCAGGCTACACCAGCACCTGACACCAGGTGCACTGAACAGAACCAGAGACCACTGGAGTGAATTGGGATGGTGAGAAAGAGGAAGACATGGCAGATCTGTATGCAGGGAAGCCCCAGGCCAGCATCACTTGCCTGGGATGGATCCATCTCAGTACCTGAGCTGCGTCCTCTGCCATCATTCACTCATTCCTGGCCCAGAAGTCCTGGAGCATCTCAACCCCTCAAGAAGAGGGCACTCAAGAAGAAGCCTCCATGGGTAAATGAGTGTGGTATGGGACAGAAAATGAACAAGCAGCATTAAGGGAAGCAGCCACACAGTTCATGCCATTGGCTGTTTTCCATTCATCAGTAGCTCCACAGAAAACTGTCACTTCCATGAAGGCTATGCGTTGGCCTGGGCAGGGCAGGGCAGGGCAGGGTCTCCATTAAAGGCAGCTCAATTCCTTCACCCTCTAATCAACATCTCTCACCTCTTTCTTCCTGGTATCCACGTGAGTCTGAAGCCCTTCTCCCAGGTCCTTTTCTGATCATGCCTGTGTGGGGCTTGGCTGAGATGGATTTTCCACTGAGAGAGAGACAGCAGCCTTGTTCTATCTGGCCAGTGTTTTCATATCACACCTGCATAAAGTGAAGACAACATTTTGACCCTTCATGCAGTTTTATAGAGCTGTGAATTTTTTCCATAGATGTAAAGCCTGGAAGTATTGGGACTGTTTATCCAAGAGAAGACTAAGAGGAGACCTTAGCAATGGTTGTAAATATCTGAAGGGTAGATATAAAGAGGGTGGGGCTAGGCTCTTTTTAGTGACAAAACAGGTGGGAACAGGAAGCTCCATCTGAACATTTGTGTGAAAGCAGAGCACTGGAACAGGCTGCCCAGAGAGGTTTTGGAATCTCCTTCTCTGAAGACATTCAAAACCCACCTGGATTTTTTCCTGTTTGAGCTCATCTGGGGAACCTACCTTAGCATGGCAATTGGAGTAGATGATGTCCAGATGTCCCTTCCCACCCCTACAGTTCTATGAATCTGTGATTCTTCCAGCCAACCAAGTTGGTTCATTGGTGTGCTCGTGAGAGTGTGATGAACTGCTCCTTATGTGTCCCTGTGCTCTGCTTTCTCCCTGCAGTCTCTCCCAGGTACATCAGCCCTTATCCATGTCATCCCTGCCATGTCCAGTACCTGTCATGTTGGCCTTGAGCCCTGACCCTGCTGGTCACTCCTGTGATGGTGGTCTGGTCCGACACCATTGACAGCTCCTTCCAACAGAGCACCACTGTGAGATCCTCCACCTCTGCTGCTGTTGGCAGATCTTCAACTATGATGGATTTCCCATCAGCTGTGGGTACTGAGAATTCTCTTGCATTTCCAGATGCTGCTGCAGCAGATGGTTCCCTGATGTGCTAAAGTGACTTACAAGAGCTCAGGCCAGGTCCCCTGGGAACCCAGAAGATGATGCTGGACTGACGACTGAGATTCTGGCCACTGTGTCAGAAAGGCTGTATGCCCAGTGCTCTCTTCTAAAGGAGGGCAGCAAGGGCTCTCTGAAAACATGATCAAAGCCTAATTTTCCTGTCTTCTACACTCTCTCCCCCCTTCCCTGTCTTCTGTCCCTGCAGTCCTTAAGATCCTAAAAGCTAATATGGGGGGTTTTGGCTGCTCTCTGTCTGTGGAGCCAAATAGGTCCTCAGTGGGATGTCTGCAATAGATGATGGGCACAAGCTTCTGTCAGCTCCTGGTACTGCCTGCACTGACAGGGTTATCACAAAAAGAGATAATTTCTCTCTTCAAAGTCATTACATTTTTCTACATCCCAACCTCTGCCTTCACATGATGCTTTTGATGAGAGTCTCATTTTGCCTAGAACAAAAGGCAATCTCTGTTGGCAGGGGATAAGGTGAGGACATGAGGGGGAATTTCTATCTTCTGGAGAGTTGGAGAGATGTGGATTTGATGAATGGTTCATTCAGTGGAAAAAAACGGTGGATTGGATGATGGCACTTGAAAGAAAGTGGCTTCTCTGGCATCTCTGACAACACAGCCAATGTCTACCTTTATCCTCTTCTGCTTATTCTTATATTCACAATTCTTTCCAGTCTTTTTTCCTCAGAGATCTCTTTTAGATACACCTACAGTCTGAACTGAAGTAGTTGCCTTTCCAGTTTCGTGCCTGGTAGATGGATGCAATGTAAAAACTGTGATATTAATAGGCTATGAGTTTCTTCTCTAGCTATTACCCACACTGGAGGCTTCCACTTTGCTCCAGCCTTGAGTTTATCCCCATGTGGCATATAAACCTGGACAGAGATGGCCTTGGAGAACAACTTTGCACTCCATCAGCCCCCTAGGCACTGAAGGGTGGATCTCTTAAAGCTGAGGAATAAATCCTTAGTTATAGAATCATAGAATCACCAAGTTTGGGAAAGACCTCCAAGGTCATCCAGTCTAACCACCCACATAGAATGGAAAGAATCCCTATTTGTAGAAGTCTTTGGAGCTATATTATTTTTCAGGACTCTTCCTACACAAATTATTCTACGATTTTGTGATATTTCTTGTGAGCTGGCAGATTGCACAGAGAATGCACAAATTGAAACAATCAAAAAGTTTTCCAGAGGACAATGCTACATGCGATAGGGTTAAATCCCAGCAGAAAACGCACACATGGAAAGCCAAATCAAATGGCCATCAGAGTGAGCTGAGGAGGCAGATAAAGAGAAGGACGAGGCACATCCTCATGTACAGGAAGCCTTGGGTATCCAGCTGGTGCTCTCAGGAGCTTATCCTGAGAATGACACGTCAAAGAGCTCCACTGCAGAGAACAAGGTTGATGTCACTTGCCTGCTCTGGACCCATCCAGCACTAAAGCTGAGTCATCTGCCTCACCAGTGCAATCCTGCCCTACAAATCTTTGGGCCTTTCATTGCAGCACTTCAAAGAATCCTTCATTGGAGAATGGACACAGGAAAAATCTGGAAATGAAAAAGCAGCACCAAGAAACCAAAACTCAGCAGGGATGGCTCGCATTCACTGTGTGCTTGTCATAAAATTATTGCCTGTTCCAGTGATGCCTCTTGGCTTGAAGCAATGAAGGACCAGTATAAAAGGCAGCCCAGATCCCAGCTCTACCATCCTCTTCTCTTGTCTCCTTCTCATCGGGAACCAGGTAAGCCCTCTCTCCTCCTCTTGCAAACTCAGATTGTGCCTCCAGAGTCATTCAATCAGATAGTGGAGGTTCTTGCTATGGGAGACCATGGAGGGGGCATGGTGGGCATAGAGAATGGCTCACATGGCTTTAGATTTATACAGCCTGTGAGAGTCTCCCTGGGTCACACTGCTCTTTGTAGGGCGATGGCACAATGAAGGGATGTGACCTGCTGTCCGAAGCTGCCTTCTCCATCCTTATCCTGTCTTGGCTCCTTTTTGAGAGGCTGTCCAGGCTGCCCCTCACATATTCTCATTTCCTTCTACATTCTATCCCTCTCTCCCAGGTGCACCTCCAGTCCCAAGTCATGTCCTGCTACACCCAGTGTGTGCCATGCCGGCCCTGCGGCCCGACCCCTCTGGCCAGCAGCTGCAATGAGCCCTGTGTCAGGCAGTGCCAGAACTCCACCATCGTCATTGAGCCCTCTCCCGTGGTGGTGACCCTGCCCGGACCCATCCTCAGCTCCTTCCCGCAGAACACCGTTGTGGGCTCCTCCACCTCCGCTGCTGTTGGCCGCATCCTCAGCTCTGAGGGCGTGCCCATCACCTCGGGGGGCTTTGACTTGTCCGGCTTGGGCAGCCGCTCCTGTGGCAGAAGGTGCCCGCCCTGCTGAAGCCGCTGGTCCTGGAGAAATTCTCCCAGAAAACAGGAACGTGGTGCTGGATCAACAAGACATCTTCAAGCCCCTGCATTCAGATTACCTGACCATCCTCAGCTACTCTAGGAAGTACTGGCAGGAAGAGGCATGCCTGGGCTTCCAGTAAAGCTGGCTCATGCCTCTGCTTCTGTACCTCTCCTCACCTACCTACCTCCTTCTCCAGTTTTTCTTTTTTCTTTCTTCGTTTTTCTTTTCTTCCCCTGTGTCCCTCTGATATGTGAGGTTCCCCAGAACGATCTCATCCACTGTTGGAAAATAAGGTGTATGTCTTGCATGAACTCAGTCTTTGAACTTAAACATGGGATCAGGCAAATCCTGCACTGTGAAGCCTCCTCTGAGGGTGATTTCATTTTCCTCTGTAAACATTCATTAAAGATTTCTGCATCTCATTTGAGCGTTTGATGTTTATTTCCACTGCCTATGGCCCCCAGAACTACCCAGGGAGAATGGCTCTGCTCCTGGGAGGTATAAGATGAGAGGTTAAGGAGATCCTTCTCCATTCCCAGAAGAATGGCATGATGTGATACACTGCTTTCTTAGTCACTGTCCCCTGCAGCTGAAGAAGATACCCCTGTCTATGGCAGAACAAGTGGCTATTGGCCTTTGCCTTGCAGTGTTTCTGCCCACAGCTACACTCTAAGTTCCTGAAAAGGAATATCACAACCTGCTTTCTGCCTAGAGGAAAAGCTGTTACTGTGTTGGATACTGTGTGAGGTGCAAGACATCTTGCTGACTCTTGGGAACAGGTTTTCTCCTGCTCTTAGACATGTGGCACTACGGAAGCAGGAGAGAATACAAGATGAAACAGAACTGTGTGGAGGTCTCTGGTCCAGCAGAGCTCCTGCTGTCACTTGTGCCCTCCTGCCAACCTGAAACATAGGTGTGCCTGACTCACACTGCCTTCAGCGAATGGCTGCTATGGGTGCAGCGCTCGTTTCTGTGGAGAACTCAGGGCGGCGCACCCCGGTCAGGATGGAGTTTGGCGGCCATGCAGGCAGCGCCCCCTGCGGGCCCGGACGGCACTGTGCCCCCGCCCCGCCCCAAGCGGTTCGTGCCCGGCCGCAGCCCCGGCTTCGCTTCCCGTGCGCCCACGGCGCAGTAATACAGCGCCGCGTCCCCGAGCCGGGGCCGGGCGAGACGCAGGACGCTGGAGCGGCGGTCTGCCGACACCCACAGCTGCCCCTCCGGGTCCGGCACCTCCTTGGAGCCTTTAAAAGCGCTGACGAGGAATGAGGGGCCTCGGCCCGGGAGCTGACGGTACCAATGGATGTACCCGTCGGGCTGTAGGTTGGGGTGTGAGCAGGTGATGTTGATGCCGGTGCCCTCGCTGGTCTCTGCCGCCGGCTCCTGCTGCACCTGGGCTCTGCTCACAGCCACTGCCGAGAAGAAAAGAGGCAGCAAACTCAGAAAATCCATTTTCTCCCACACAGATTTCATGCAGGAGGAGAGAGGTACACGAGGTCAGAAAGATACCAATCGTACAGAGGCGTTCGCGGCCCGTCCCCCCACAGCCCCGCAGTGCGGCCCCGCCGGCGGCAGCCCCGCGCACCCAGCAGCACCGCGGCCAGCCCCGCCAGCCCCGCGGCCCGGCACTGCCGCATCCCGCCGCTGCGCCGCCCGCGCCGCGCTGCCCCCGCCAGCCCCGGCTCTGCTCCGCCCGCGCCGCCTCCTCCCCGCCGCCGCCGCCGCCAGCTCCGCCCCGGGGCTGAGCTCAGCTTCATCCTTAGCCTGTCTTGGCTCCTTTGTGAGAGGCTATTCAGGCTGCCCCTCACATATTCTCATTTCCTTCTACATTCTATCCCTCTCTCCCAGGTGCACCTCCAGTCCCAAGTCATGTCCTGCTACACCCAGTGTGTGCCATGCCGGCCCTGCGGCCCGACCCCTCTGGCCAGCAGCTGCAATGAGCCCTGTGTCAGGCAGTGCCAGAACTCCACCATCGTCATTGAGCCCTCTCCCGTGGTGGTGACCCTGCCCGGACCCATCCTCAGCTCCTTCCCGCAGAACACCGCCGTGGGCTCCTCCACCTCCGCTGCTGTTGGCCGCATCCTCAGCTCTGAGGGCGTGCCCATCACCTCGGGGGGCTTTGACATCTCCTGCATTTCCAACTGTAGCTGTGGCAGAAGGTGCAACCCCTGCTAAAAATGCTGAATATTGCCACAGGACACACTGGAACTCTTACATGACACTGGACAGAACAAGAAACAAAGGAAGGGGGGCCAGTCTGACTTCTCTGACAACGTGGAGATGTCTCTCAATCCTCCCTTTCTTTCATTCTTCTTATCTAATTACTTTGCTATCATTTCTCCTTATTGATCTGTTAGCATCCCTGAAAACTAGCCTCAAGAGACTTCACTTCTCTACAATCTTTGGCCAGGAAATTGGGGCCTTAATATAGGAAGGTGGAAACAGACTCTTGCCTGTTCCTGCTGCTTCCCACACTTGATGTGTGCACTTGGAGTGACATAATTTTCCCCTTCAGACTCATTAAACATTTGCTGCATCCTTCAGTGTGTCCTTCCCTGCTTTTTTACCATCTGTGTATAGATACTGGTCTAAATATTGGAGGCCAGCGCACACTGCAGAGATTTCATCTTTCAGTCACTGTCTTTTAAAGCAGTGAAAATCACCCCTGGTTACTCTGTAACTAATGGTTGTCAGCCCTTGCCTTCCTGTATGTCTGCTTAGACGTGTGCCCTACGCCCTGGAGCATGTCATGTGAATGAGAAACCTGTCAAATCTCAGAACCTGCTCGAGGTCATTTGCTGACTTCCTTGCTTGGCCAGACATTCTGTTGGTCCACTCTGTTAATTGAGTGGAGTCTTTAGCCAGACCACTCTTGGCTAACCTGGACTTGGATCCTAGCTCTCACGCTGGCAGTGATATCCTCTACACATAACACACATATTGCTTACCTTAGGACAATAATCAGCAGGTGCTGGAATTATCTGTTATCTAAAAATGAGACCTGAGATGGATCAACACACTCACACTTTGGGGATTCACTCTTCTCTTGACAGTGTCAAAATAACTTCTCAAATGCCTCAGCTAATAGTTCATGCACTGCATTCAATGGTCTGAATCCTACTACAGTGTATAGCCCCCTTGAATTTCTGATGTTTTAGTTTAAAGTTATTCCCCTTTGCTCTTTCAGTAATTGTCCAAGTAAAAATTCGGTCTCTCTCTTGTTTATAAGTTCCCTCCAAATACTGGAGGTCCCAGTGAGGTCTCCCCAGGGCATTCTCTTTTCCAGGCTGCACAGGACCATCTCCCACAGGCTGTCATTGTATGAGAGGTGCTCCAGATCTCTGCTGAGCTTTTTTGGCCCTCCTCTGGACATGCTCCTGTGGCTCTACGTGCTTCTTGTGCCACAACCTCTGGACTGGATGCACTTCTCTATATGGGAAATCATAAAGGCAATGTAGAGGGGAACTCACTTGAACAGAATACCACTGGATGTCTGTGCTGCAAGTGCTCACTGCTGTGTCATGTCAAGCTCTTTATCCACAAAGATCCCCAGGACCTTCTCTGCAGAGATGCTCTCAAGGAGTTCTTCTTCCAGTCAGTACACATAGCTGAGATTGCACCAACTCAAACACAACAGCTTGCACTTGGCCTTGTTGATTTTCATTAGGTTCTTATGGGCCCACTTTAGAAGCTTGTGCACATCCCATTGGGTGCCATCCCTTTGTTCCGTTGCATTCCCTGTACCACTATGCTCAATGTCTTCAGCAAAATTGTTGCAACCACCCAGCTGATTCCTTATCCACTGAATGTTCCACGCTTCATATCTTTCCAGTTTAGAGAAATAAACATTTTGTGGGACTGTATCGAGGGCCTTGCAGAAGTCCAGGTAGACGGAAGTCTTTTGTCATGGAGAGACCACATCAGTTACCCTTCCTTGCTCCACTGATGTGGTCTCTCCATGACAAAAGACTTCCAGATCGGTCAGGAACAATCAGCCCTTGGTGAAGCCATGCTGGTTGTTCTGGATCACATCCTCAGCACTTGATGTTCATTAACATCTCTTATAGAACGATCTGCTTCATAATCTTCCCAAACACATACGTAAGGCTCACTTACCTATAGTTCATCACGTCTTCTTTTCTCACTTTCAGGAATGATGTTTCCGTTTTTCCAGTCACTGGGGAATTCACAACAACTATAACTTTTAAAAGATGATGACGAGAAGTTTGGCAGTTACTCCTGCTTGACCAACCTCATCTCATCTCTTCTGCAGTATAGCATACCTTGTAGATGAGGGAAAGGCTGTTGATGCAGTCTACCTAGAATGCAGCAAAGCCTTTGACACCATCTCCCACAGTATTGTCCTTGATAATCTGGCAGCCTATGGCTTGGACTTATGTCCTCTTTCCTGGATAAAAAACTGGCCCAGAGCGTGGTGTAGAATGGAGTAATTACAGCTGGGTACCAGTCAGATGTGGTGTTCCCCAGGCACCGGTGTTGGGACACATCCACTTTAGTGTATTTATTCCTGATGTGGATAAAGGACTTGCCTGCACTTTCAGTAATTTTTGAGGATGACAGCAAGTTGGGAAAAGTGTTCATCTGCCTGATATTAATACAGAGAGACCTGGACAGTCTGGATCACTGGGCTAAGACCAATGGCATGAGCTTTAATGAGACCACATGCCAAGTCTTTTGTCACAGCAACTCATGCATGCCTAAAGGCTTGGGACAGAATGTCGGGAAAGCTGCAGTGTAGTAAGAAAAAAAAGTGTAGTAAAAAGATCTGAGAGGGTTGGTTGACGGGTTGCTTAATATGAGCCAGCAGTGTGCTCAGAAGGCCAAGAAGGCCATCAGTATCCTGGCTTGCATCAGAAATAGTGTCATCAGTGGAGCAAGGGAGGAGATCATTACTTTGTACTCAGAACTGGTGAGGCTGCATGTTGAGTACATTGTTCAGTTTTGAGCCTCTCACTTCTAGAAAGACCTTGAGGTCCTGGAGCGTGTCCAAAGAAGGGCAGTGAAGTTGTGAAGCCTTATGAGGAACAGCTGAGGAATTGGGATCGGTTATTTTTGAGAATGGGAGATTCAGGAGTGACCTTATCACTCTCTGAAAGGAGGTTGTAGCAAGGTGAAAGTCAGCCTTTTTTTACAGGTAACTAGCAATAAGATAAGATTTAATGACTTCAATCAGGAACAGCAAGATTCTCTTTCCCCAAGAGTGTGCCAGAAATGCATTGACAAAACAGAACTGCACCCCAGAGAGGAGAAGCTGGGCAAGAGACTGTCAGGGAGAATCCAAGGCCTCTAGAGATGTTGGCAGCAGGGGGGGGGCAGAACAGCCTCAGCATCCCTGCATATCGCTGGGACAGCAGTTTCACAGTTTCATCTACTCTGATGAGATCTCTCTTTCCCAATTCCGGTGAGTTTTGATGAGTTGCTATCTTTTATAGGCCACTTGTGCACTACAAGTACAGAAGGAGCAGAGTGAAGGGAGAGTTCTGTGTCCGGGTGAGGCTGGAGGCTCAGGAGTGCATGGGGTGTATTACTGACCCAGAAAGCATCTGTTCACCGGTCCCATACTGAAAGAGATGTTTTCAGCATAATTCCTGTGGGAAAGAAAATATTCTGTATGATGGATAGGGATGAAAGCCCATGGTTTTTCCCTGCCTCATCTCATCAGGGCCAGAGCATCAAGGAAGCAAGACTGAAGGAGTCTAGAGAAAAGCTCAGCAGAAAATGTGTGCATGAAGATGTTTCTTGTTGCAGTACAATCTATGGAAGAAGGATGGCTTCTAGGAATATTGCAACAGCGGGAAAAGCTGATTAGACTTAGTAGAGGATCTCAGTGGATTATTAGAACAAACACGTGTAATGTTTCACAAGGAAAATTTAAATCTGGCAAATGTCAAATCATTATGTCTCAGCATGCCTTTAAAGGGAAAGATTTCCAAAGCATAGGAAGTGTGTGCTTCTCTCTGTGGGGTGATGTAAATTGATACTGGAATTCCCCTGCATCACCCAGGCTATTTACACCTGAAGTCAGATCTCCTGTTCTTCAGCCAAGCCTCAACAGTGCAGAAGGGCTGCTGCTGGGAGGTGTCTGGTTGTATTTGAGGGGTGATGGCAAATCTGGGTTTGGAGGCTGTTGCACGTGGGGGTGTCCCAACCATAGCACTCTTCAGCATAATGTTTGCTTGGCCCAGTTGTACACAAGATGAGAGAATCCACGGTTTCCCTGCACCTTGCCTTTCCTGCTGTTTTCCACGTAGCAACTTTAAATCACACCTTCAGCCAGGCCACTCATGGGTCCTTTTTTAAAAAACAAAACAAAAAAAAACCAACAAAAAAACACTACAGTGTCCACAGATCATCTCATCAATTGTGAAATGCAGGGAATCACAGAATCATAGCATATCCTGAGGTAGAACAGACAAACAGACAAGAATCGTTGACTCCGTATCCTTTCTCCACACAGGCTCAATGAAAAACTGAACAACAAATCTCTTGAGTCCTGTTTCAG